GTTTTGACCACCTAACGGGCATGGACGGGTATGGCTAGTTTATTTCAATTGGTGTTTAATGTCGGGTTACTGGATAAAATGCTGAACATTTTCCAAGGATTACCCAGCAATGATTCAAGGGTCCATGCCGATTACCAACCGCATTAATCATGCAATCAGTGCAAATTGATATTATATGCATGCATTGACTCATTGAGTGTCACACACGGGTTTCATGTCGTCTGGGCAAGATCAAGTTAATATAAGGTATAGAAATCTAGAATTACTTAGTTCCATGGCATCTCATGTGACATTAATAACTTGCATTGAACTTATAACTCTAACAAATGCATTGTTGGAAATACACCTCACAGGACATTGATACTTGCCTGATTTTCAGAGAGAGTCATAATCTCCTCCTGAAGTTCATGTAACCGTTTCTGCAAAGCCGAATCCTGTAAAAACAGAAAATTTAACACGGTAAAGATGTGGACACACTAGTTAGCCGATTTTTCATGCGATTGAGCCGGCCGGCTGAGAGTCGGGCGGCTGAGTCGGGCGACTAGCTGTGGACACACTAGCCGATTTTTCATGCGATTGAGCCGCCCGGCTGAATGATGATGATAGTCACATGATTGAAAATGGCACCGTTTAATTAGCTAATGAATTGTACATTCGGGCGCGCGTAGTAGAGCATTGTATAGTATCGCATTGTTCGGGCGCGCATTGGATGTAGTCGCGCGACTCAAATAATTATCAAACATGTTTGATTCGGGCGACTCAGCTGGCCGACTCGAAAATCGACCGCGACTCACTGGACACACTAGGCGATTTCAGCCTGCCGGCTCGACCGCATAAAAAATCGCCTAGTTTGTCCACGGCCCTTAAGATGCAAGTCATACTACTAAGCGTTTTTCTGCACATGTATATAATCACGCAGAGTACCATTCACACGCATAAGCAAAGTCGTTCATCATTTATGTCACGTAAGACAAAAATTGCTTTAACATGAATTGATGATAAAGAATTCCTCGCTTCCAACGTCACGAACCTTAGTGTGCTGTGAATTAACATCAATGCACTGTGTTACATCGCATGACAGTAATACTAGCCTAGGAAGCATTTTTACACTGAGCACATTAACTCACACGCACAGCAAAGAGACTAGGCTGCCTAGAGTCTAGACACTATGCCGCAACAAAATTCTGCCATCTCATCAATTCTCTAATTATTGTAATCTATGAAATATAAATGCTTCTCTGCAAATCCTAATTTATCCTGTTATACTTATTGTGCTTTTGCTAGTGTTTAAATTTGCCTTCAGAACTAGTATTATAGGAGTTTATGGGCTAACGCTCCATTAGGAGTGTTCCCAACTTTGATATCATTAATGATTAATGATTGATAATGCCTAAACCAACCCTACCGCTAAATGACATTAAACCACAAACTAATATATGACCATGACGCATATATAATATATACTATATATATAATATATTATATATAAAATATATTATATATATATATATGTTATTATGACCATTAATGACATTAAAGTTGGGAACACTCAGGACTAATGGAGTATCACCCAGTTTATGGTATAATTGCTAAGTGGGGAAATTAGGTACATGCATGTACAATGTACATACATGCATACAATACGTAATGATGTAGCAACACTTCAACCAATATCAAATGATAAGTACGGATTGTGTTTGCATGCACAAGTTCCTTGAATAACTAAATTTATGAAAGAAAATATTACTACATTACAATGGATACTAACTGGTAGTGCTGAAGGCGCCACACACAAGTACACAACGTGAGCAACATTTCACGAACAAATAAAACAAACAACAACAAACATCAAATAAAGGTTTACAGACGCTGGTCGTTTTCACGTTGGGTGTATCTTTCTAAGTACTCCAACATGAGGGATAATTACAATCTTTATCAAAATTTCCCTATAACAAAGGGTGCCTACAGAAGCCTAATTTGCTTTCACATCAACTGATATCAAAGCCTTGTATTTTAAAATGATTTATGCAAATCACCAAGTTCTAGTGAAATGCTTTTACAATATTTATTTTAGCATTTTATCTGTAGTTAACTAAAAGGTAACAATACTTAGCATCTGTCAATATAATACAATTATTAACCTCCAATCTTTAATGGTATAGGTAATCCCAATAGATGCTGGTCCTGGCAATACTAGGAGTTGGGGGCCTGGCGGGGGGCACTCCATATATATTGCGTGGTAGGTATGTCACCACCGTATGTGTCACGGTTAGGACCCCCACTTGCACCTCCAAATTTCCACACCAGATACCCCTTTTTCACATACTTTTCATCCCGGAGCATAGGCCCTACTTTTTTCTGTTCCGGAGACCCTTGAATTCTCATGGCTGCATTGGTCCCTTGGCAATTTTTCTGTATTGTTATGTCCATGCAATTCCAGAGACCCCCTCTTGCCAACATGCCCAGTTCTGGAGCATCATCCAGCAAACCCTAGTTCCGGAGACCCCAATTTTGATGTGCTGAGTAAGTACCAGAGCCCCCCAATTCCATCTCTCAAGTGGCACATACCTACGCTTTTGTGTAGGGAGTGCCCCCCCCTAGGGGTTGGGGGTTCGTCAACAAAATTGATGTGGCATTGCCTGTCTTCAGGATGTGAGTGGGGGTGGATAACATACTAAAAATGTACGTATGTACAAAATTAGGCGAGGGCAAGGATCGAGAACATACAACTGGGTGTGCACAAAAGTGAACAACAAAGTGCAGGCTAAAATATTTTCATTGGACACTCTACAGTGTTGTCAGCAAGGCAGACGATACATGGCAAGAATTTTAATACTAATATAAAATACAATACTTGTAAGCAATGTGACATAATCATTGAGGAACTATATAACAGTCATTAGGCTAATTAATTATGGGTAGTTCATAGTTTTATGCCCAACTATGTACTTATTTACTCGTGTATAAGTCGAACCCCATATTTTGCCTTGAAAAGTTGGAACAAAACTTTTATAAGCGAAATTTACATGGAAGATGAGACTTTACAAGGGCCGGGAAACTTTTCAAATTATGTTACATGTCTACTATTATTAGTGGAGTTGGACAATGAAACGAGTCGCCATGTTGACACATTTATTAACAAAATAAATTACGAACATGGTTATGGAATAGCCACTACATACATAATATCATCAAGAGCAGATAAAGAAGGAGAGCGTACAAGGGTAAAATGCTGAAACCATGCTGCAGTATTAGTCGAATTAATAAACTTTTCCCGTTTTATTTTGACGATCCTTTGCAGTATTATTGATTAGCTGTCTTACCCTGTTCATATAAAACAAACCGCATGTCCCTACGATGCCCCTACGCTGAGATAATGAGCGGTGAAAATCTGGTATTTTCACCGAAACCCGACTCGAGATCAGTGTTTACTGCGTCCCTCACTCGAAGTGTTTCCAGTGTGTTGCTTCCGGTCGCCGCTGTGTAGCGCCACAGTGGCACTGACTCACGTAATACTACCTGAGTGGCGTACCAGCGTGAGGTGGGCGTGAGGTGGGCAGAGGTGGGGGTCATCACTATGGCAATCAATAACAGGCGTCATTCGGGACACGTGAGGTTT